CCTTCGTCCTGACCCTTTTTGCTGCTCAACAAATAACTTTGAGCCTCAGTCAGGAAAAAAACTGGAGGGTTTTTACACGTTGGCCCGAGAGGAGGGCTTTTAATAATCGATTTCTATCGATTCGTTGTTGCAGCCCTAGGTAGGACGTCAAAAATCTGCATGTTTTATATGCAGGACATGAAAGAATAATGTATCTAACCTTCCATTAACATTCTCCTGCTGGAAAGGTTTCCTGTAGAGYTCGGTCCATGGACCCAGGTCCTCCAGCCACGACACGACCTCTTCTGGAGTCCAGTGAGACACTGGTTTACTGATGAGCAGGTCATGTTGATCCAGGACTCCACTGCCCCAATGAAACACCAGCACCACCACCTGGAAACATGCAAACAGTGCAGGTAAAACAAAATCAAATGGATTCTCACAAAGTGTGAGCTCACGGTCAAGTGTTGTTCAACATGAACTGAACCAGACGTCTGCTGCTGCTTCTTTATTAAAACTAGAACAACGAAAAATGTTCAACAATTCAGCAAATAATGCAGAGAAATACCTTGCATTAATGCTCATTTACACAAAGGAAATAGTTTTATGTCTATATATATTTTCCTTTGTTTCTTATTGGCATTGAAGTTACTGTAAGACAACAAGTACTAAAAAGTGTGACAGTTTCAGCAACTAAATTAAGCAAAGTCAGCATTTGTGGACTTTGATWATTTGACAACAGTGTCACAATAAAACTAAGTAAAATATTCATTAAAAATTTATAAAGTACATGTGACCCATTTCTTCAGTTTTGAATAATGACAACTTGTTAGTTAACTGAACAAACTTCAACAGAAGACTCACTATTTTTATTGTTAGTTTGCAGATCTTGCTTAAAATTTTGACTGATTTCCATCTTTTAAAAAAACACGTTTTTTTCTACTAAAGTACCAGCTTTATTATTGCAATAAAACAAGTAACTTACTTTTTTGGACAGTGAAGCAGGTCTTACTCAGTCAATGTAAACTTGAAACTAAAGTTTCTTGTCATGAGCGGCAGAGAGTTAATRATTTATTTGATCTATGGATGTGAATATAGAAGTAAATGTGTCAAATATTTAGCATTTTGAGATCAGATTATGTGTTAAGTACTATTGTTGACCACAGCTGTTTGTAATCCAGTGTTTGAAATTTCATTTATCTTGTTTTTCTGACACGTGTGACAGCAGAAACTGGTCAATGATGCTTTCTCTAATGTTTAATAAATCTGTTTTTTTTGTTGTTTTTTTTACTGCTGGATTGTTCAGCAGGGTAAATATATTCTCCTAAGCAATTTGTTCCAWTCTTATTCTCCTCATCTCCAGATGCAGACACTTTGCTACCACATTAAACAAATATGATATTGATTAAAGATGGAGATACACCCCATATTTAGATGAAACATTTAAAATCTATATACATACTAGCCTGATAACGTTCACTGTTATGGTCATGTGCTGTTTTACGGTAATGTTGTTTAATTTCAGAAACGCTGAATGGTCATTTTTAAAAACACTCAACCCATGCATGCATGCACCACAACTTGCTGGGAATGTTCCATTTCTTTGCAAATAATGTGGGTCTAGTAAAACAAAGCCAAAAATAAATCAATACTCAGCACACAGATCAAAACAAAGCTCTCTGATGACATAGAACTATCAACTTGGAGTGAGATATTTACAGTGATGTAATTTGTTTACATGCAACCAGACGCCAACAGTCAAACATAAACAAACTTAAATTCACTGCCACGTTGTAAGGCCAGTAGTGACATTGCTCCCAAGTGCCACATGGACAAAATAAACATGTTCTTTTGACAGAGTGGGGAAACTTAACCAGGGTTCCTACAGTTTAAGGCAAGTTAAATTTAAGACCTTTTAAGACTCTTTAATGCCAAGTGAAATTAAATTAAGACCAATTTCATAATGACGAAAAAATGCAAACTGGCAGAAACTCATAAACCAAAGTATTTTTGGTTGAAGTATTCGAATATTGCTAACAGACCAAYTGTTTTTATCCATATCTAACTATAGCAGAAACATTCTTAGCAGTCAGTTTTAAACTTAAAGTGCCTGTGACATCATTTTTTTCTAAGTGAATGCATTTTTGGAAAGACAACATTATTAACATTTTAGAAAACAAATTTCACATTGTTCAGATGAACAGTTGTTGAGATATTTGCATGTGAAATAACAGGAAGTGATGTCAAAGGGGAATGTCTG